CTTCTCCATCTACACCTCTTTCCTTGGCCAACTCATACACTCTCACGGCTTCAACTACCACCTCTATGCCGATGACATGCAAATCTATCTCTCGACCCCTTGCCTCACCGCTTCAGTCTCTCACCAGCCTACTGAACGACATATCAGATTGGATGTCACTCCACTTCCTTAAACTGAATCTCTCCAAAACTGAGCTCCTAGTCTTCCCCCCAGCTCGCATACCACCCCCTACTGACTTCTCCGTCACGTCCAACAATGCCACCATCAGGCCCACCCCGCAGGCCAGAGTACTTGGTGTCATTCTTGACTCCAATCTATCCTTCCAGCACCAAGTCCAATCACTAACAAACTCATGCAGACTCCACCTCCGCAACATCGCCAAAATCCGCACGTTCCTAACCCCAGAAACCACTAAGCAGCTCATCCACTCCCTCATCATATCATGACTCGATTACTGCAACTCCCTCCTCACTGGCCTGCCTCGCCACAGGCTATCCCCGCTTCAGTCAATCCTGAATACGGCAGCCAGACTCATTCACCTTTCCAACAGCTCCGTTTCCGCCACCCCCCTCTGCCAATCCCTCCACTGGCTTCAGATTGCCCAACAAATCAAATTCAAAATCCTAACACTGACGTACAAAGCTGTCCATCATACTGCCCCAAACTACATCACCGACCTAATACCCAAATACCACCCAACACGCACTCTCTGCTCCTCACAAGACCTCCTTCTCTCTAGTTCCCTGGTCTCCTCCTCCCATGCCCCCCTCCAGGACTTCTCCAGGGCGTCACCCATCCTCTGGAACTCCCTACCCCAATCCATCAGACTATCACCTACTCTCCTCTCCTTTAGGTGCACCCTGAAAACCCACCTCTTCAATGAAGCCTACCCCACCCCCTGCTAATTGCCGACCTCCTCCACTCTTCCTACCACTCCATCCCCCACAGCTTTTCCTCCTGTACCACTATCCCCTCCCTCCTAGATTGTAAGCTAAGAGGAGCAGGGCCCTCGAACCCCTCGTGTATCGCATTGTATTGTTATTGTACTGTCGCATGTATTGTCTCCCCTTGTAATGTACAGCGCTGAGCGAACTCTTGGCACTTTATAAATACTGTATAATAATAATATGAGGATAGCTGGGTGTTACTGCTGGAGACTGCATCCCTTGCAAGGGGAATTCCTTGCCCAAGGACTGGGAAATGTGACACAGCTATGTGAGTCTGGGAGACCAAGGGTGGGCCTGGGAGACTGAGGAAGCTGAGGCAGCTAGTGAGTCCAAGGGGCTGGCGGGAATCTGGAAGTCTCCAGAGAAGTGAGCAAGCTTGAGGGAGCTGGAGAACCCTACCCAGAGCCAGGAGCAGGCCTGTGCAGTGAGTTGCTGCAACTGAGACTGAGTGAGCCTGAAGAACCCATGGTCTGGGAAACTAAAGACAGGTGCTGCTGACAAGAGAGCCAGGTGGCTTGGGAATTTCAGTGATCTCTTGATTTTCTGAAGCTGGAAAAACCCCTGCGTGGGTATCTGTGTTGGAACTTGAATGTCATTGACAAAAGTGGGCTGCCATGCCTCTAAACTGAAGTTTGGACTCACTTACAAAAGCATCTACCACATGAGCTAACCAACCCCATATCACAAGTGTAAATAGGTCTTGTGTTGACAGGCTTTGGACTTTGAATTGCTGGCTTCAGTTTGAGAAGATTCTTCAGAATTCATTGATAAGTGTGTTTGACCTCTTTCCAACTTGCATTCGAATGCTAAAGAAAAGTGAGGAAACTTTCCAGACAGCCATTCTCAGGCAGGGATCCTTGGACCCCAGGGCTCCTCAGAGGTTCTGTGAGTGGTGATTGACTGACCTCTCACTTTATGGTGCCTGCATATTCCCAGGTCCAACGGCATTTGGGAGAGCCATCCACCATGACACCAATGATTTTTTTTTATCTACTTGTAAGGGTGGTCTTCTGACCATCACTGTAAAGAGGCATTCTTTCTACTGCAGTTAACTTCTTTCCATCCTGCATTTGATAGCTGAAGATAAGTGAGGAAACCTTACAGAGCAGCCATTCTCAACCCTAAGGTACCTCCAGAGGTTCCTTGAGCAATGGCTGACTAATTGCCCATTTGCTGTTGCCTCCATAGTTCGGGGCCAACCGACATGACACCAATGATCTTTTTATCTATCTGCAGGGATTTTTTTAGCTGTACTCAGTTCCACCACCTCTGGATCGGGCCCTCTGCCCCCTGCAGCCGAGCTTCTGTGTTTACAAGTGACAAGCAACATCTCCCACAGATTTGATCTCCCAAGTGGTTCCCACTGAGTACAGGATGGGGACTAGGGAGATACATGTGTCCAGTGTGTGGTGAGGATGTCGAGACCCCCACTGGATGATCTCCCTGCAAGTGAGAGAGGTGGAGCCTTTTACAATGTGGGGGGAACTAGTAGAGCTGGCTGCGTTCTTCAGCTTAATAGAGCAACAAAAGTAAAACATGTAAAAGATAGTGGAGCTTTTAAGAAAGCCTGAACTCTGTACATAGTGTACTCCTGAACTTTACACTCTGTATGTAATGCACTCCTGGTATTTATTGCCCCTTTAAGACCGTCCCACTGTTAGTAAAATTTAACCACACCCACTATTTGGGTTGAGAGAGTGTGTGTGTGTGTGTGTGTGTTTGTGTTTGTGTGTGTGTGTGTTGGGGAGTCATGGTTGAGTTCCTGCACCAAGAAATAAAGCCCTGTCTATCTGAAAGGGTGGTCTTCTACCCATCACTATAGAGGGGCATTTTTCCCACTGGCTACCATTGTACGGGGCTTTTTATCTAATGACCCCCCAATGAATTGGTTTTATCTAGTGCACTCCAAGACCTGAAAATGTTTTCAATGGTTCCTCTATTATAAAAAAGGTTGAGAAACACTAGTCTAGGGCTGCAGGTAAACAAAACAACTATGAAACATTTTAAATCTGATCTCCATGTTTTATTTAACTTTAAATAGTCTGTTTGGAGCCTCAGCCAATAAGAGGAAGCTTTTGTATTCATTCATGTAATACAAAGAGTCCTCTGAATGGCTGAGCATCCCAATTTGAGTAGAGGGACAGGAAGGTCTAATCCTGCTGTAGGAAAACAGTGCTGCCAGCCACTTCAACTGTTAGTGAAGTAAATAGTTTGTTTGGAACATCTTGGTCCAAATTAACTATTTAAAGTTAAATGAAACCTGGAGTTCAGCTTTATAAACATATTACAGTTTCCCTTTAACAAGCATACAGTACTGTATATATTATGTACAGTTGCAAGAAAAAGTATGTGAACCCCTTGGGATTACGTGGAGTTTTGCATGAATTGGGCATAAAATGTGCTCTGAACGTCATCTAAGTCACAACAATAGAAGAACACAGTCTGCCCAACATAATACTACACAAACATTAGATGTTGCCATGGTTTAATTGCACATAACATGTAAAAATTCACAGTGCAGGGAGGAAAAAGTATGTGAACCTTTGGACTTAATAACTGGTTGACCCTCCTTTGGCACCAATAACCTCAACCAAACGTTTCCTGTAGTTGCAGATCAGACCTGCACAACGATCTGGAGTAATTTTGGACCACTCCTCTTCACAAAACTGTTTCAGTGTAGCAATATTCTTGGGATGTCTGGTGTGAATCGCTCTCTTAAGGTCATGCCACAGCATTTCAATCGGGTTGAGGTCAGGACTCTGACTGGGCCACTCCAGAAGGCGTATTCTGTGCTGTTGCAGCCATTGTTTTGTTGAATTACTTGTATGCTTTGGGTCATTGTCCTGTTGCATCACCCATCCTCTGCGGAGCTTCAGTTGGCGGACAGATGGTCATACGTTTTCCTGCAAAATGTCTTGATAAACTCTGGAATTAATTTTCCCATCAATGACAACAATCCGTCCAGGCCCTGAGGCAGCAAAGCAGCCCCAAACCATGATGCTCCCTCCGCCATGTTTAAACAGTGGGGATGAGGTTTTGATGTTCGTGTGCTGTGCCTTTTTTTCTCCACACATAGTGTTGTGTGTTCTTCCCAAACAACTCAATCTTGGTTTCATCTGTCCACAGTATATTTTGCCAGTAGTGCTGTGGAACATCCAGGTGCTCTTTTGCAAACTTCAAACGTGCTGCAATATTCTTTTTGGACAGCAATGGCTTCCTCCGTGGTGTCCTCCCATGTACTCCATTCTTGTTTAATGTTTTCCTTATTGTAGATGTGTCAACAAAAATGTTAGCATGTGCCAGAGATTTCTGTAGGTCTTTAGCTGACACTCTGGGATTCTTCTTTACCTCATGCAGCATTCTGCGCTGTGCTCTTGCAGTCATTTTTACAGGACGACCCCTCCTAGGGAGAGTAGTAACAGTGCTAAACTTTCTCCATTTGTAGACAGTCTGTCTTACCGTGGACACATGAACATCAAGGCTTTTGGAGATACTTTTGTAACCCTTTCCAGCTTCATGCAAGTCAACAATTCTTGATCGCAGGTCTTCTGAGAGCTCTTTTCTGCGAGGCATGGTTCACATCAGACAGTGCTTCTTGAAACCAGTAAACCCAAAACAGGTGTGTGTTTTTTAAGGGCAGGACAGCTGTCAGCAACACATCCAATATCATCACACTGATTGGAGTCAAGGTTGGCTCACTCCTGGCTCCAATTAGCTCTGGGAGAAGTCATTAAGCTAGGGCCTCACATACTTTTTCCTCCCTGCACTGTGTGAATGTTTACATGTTATGTGCAATTAAACCATGGCAACATCTAATGTTTGTGCAGTATTATGTTGGGCAGACTGTGTTCTTCTATTGTTGTGACTTAGATGACGTTCAGAGCACATTTTATGCCCAATTCATGCAAAACTCCACGTAATCCCAAGGGGTTCACATACTTTTTCTTGCAACTGTATAATAGCGATATATTTATTTACATCACTAAACTGTATATTGACAAAATTAAAATAGACAATAGATTCCCTACAATGAAAGCCATAATTTGTAGTTACCCTTGGCCCAGTCAGCCCTGGAACTCCTGGTGACCCGGGTGGGCCCGATATTCCTCTTTCCCCTGGTGGGCCAGCTTGGCCCATGAGTCCAGTGTGACCTTTGTGTCCTGGTTTTCCAGGTTCTCCTGGTGGACCTTTCTCTCCTTGCATGCCTTTATCTCCTTTGTTACCTGGCTCTCCCTAATAAACAGAAAACAAGTCAGAAAACTCAACTTATAAAAATACAACAAAATGTTTTGTTAGTATGTAATTAACACTTTTGGGAGCCTAGTTTTTTTATTGCTGTTGCCTTTAAAGTGACTAATTTGGAAATTCTGTAGTTAGGAGGTTTTAAAAAAGTTGAGACCGTGGTTGAACTTTTCAAAAATTTGCTCATCACTAGTACACTTCAAAACTAAGGCACAGCATCAAGCAGTATGGTGCACATCTTACCCTCTCTCCCTTAGGTCCTGGATCACCTGATTTTCCAACAGAACCCTAAAGATAGAAGGGAATGGAAACCATATATGTGATGGGAAACAATGTACAAAGGAGAAAAGGATGGGAGGAGGGGCACAGCATGGGAAGGGATATAGGTGGAGGAAAAAGATTGATATAGTAGATGGGCAATGGAATGTTAAAGGTAAAAGGGTGGAGGAGAGAAAGGGTTAAGGAACAAATTAGGGAAAGCATAACAAAAGATAGGCAGGAGTAAAGTAAAGAAAAGGGAAAGAGAGAGAAAAAGACTAGGAAAAAAAAGGGGATAGAGGAAAAGTAAGGTAGAAGTACGGAAATGAGAAAATAATGTTAAAGGGAAGGGGAAGAGCTACGTGAAAACAAAAGCAACATTTAAAAAGGAAGGAGAAGGGTAAGGGTGGTAGACAGCAATGGGGGAAAACACAGGATAGGGTGGGACTGGGAGAAGAAATGGAAGAGTGGAAAGAAATAGGGATGAAGCAGAAAAGGAAAGTAGTGGGCAAAGAAAAGGGAGATGTTTGGAAAAGGGAGCAGCAAAAAACAAAGGTATAGAAGAGGTGGAGGAATTGATTGGGAAAAGGGAACGGACAGAGGTAATAGAAGGGAGTGCTAAAGAGAAAAGGGCAGGGAATGTTAAGGAGAAAGGTTGGAGATACTAAAAAAGGAAGGGGACGGGAAAGGCCAGGGACAAAAAGAGCAAGAGGAAAGGTAGAAGCAACAGTAAAGGTTGAGGAAAGGAAACCTACCTCTTTACCAGGTGGACCACTCTCCCCGGATTCTCCCTAGAAACAGACAGACATGTTTACTTCTCAAATAAAATGTATATGTTGTTTGTCAAGAATTTTGGCAATTTGCATTGAAAAGGATACATTTTTTCTTTTTAGCATTTTTGGTTTGGAAAGGGCTGACTTTAGTTACATAGTAATTATAGCACAAAATAGTTGTGCTATTGAAGTTGTGTTATTGTAATGTTACTGTTTTTCTACTGGTTGAAAAATATGGACTTGTGCCTTATTTCATCCTGACCAGGGGCGGACTGACAACTCATGGGGCCCCCGGGCAGTGTGGGATCATGGGGCCCCTGTGTCCTTGCCCACAACCAAAAAAGCCAATGAAAGTTACCAGGGGCATCTCATGGGGCCCCCTACTGACCCCGGGCCCTCGGGCAGTGCCCGAGTGCTCGAATGGTCAGTCCGCCCCTGAGCCTGACTGAATATGTAACTGTACAAAAATATCTGTTTATTCTTATTAGGCTTTAGTCATCTTCATATAGCTTTATAGTAAAATTCCAGGCAAAAACGCTTTTTGAGATTCATGGTGTGTAAAAAAATTACCTCGGTTCAGGTGTATGCCGAGTAAAAATGTAAAAAGTATACTTTTTTAATGCTCCTGAAGATATGAGAGCTGCGGTTCTCATACCCAGGGGCTCTAGTGTTGTTCACCCCCTGCTCACCTTGGCCATTTGCAGAACATTGTATATTCTGTAGAGCAGGGTCTCCAAACTACGGCCGGCACTGCAAAGCTCCTTTTGGACTGCAGTTAGGGTCAGGTTCCCCTTGCTATGCTGTCCTTCTCCAAGTTAGTTGGTTGCTAATACCATTTGCATCCTAGCAAGCAAAGATGTGCTTGCTCTTAAGGAGGACTGAGGGGGCCTGTTTTAAAAGGGGCTCTGATGGGACCCTGATGTAAAAGGGGAACTCCTACGGTGGGCTTTGATGGAGTCCCTGATGTAAGGTGAGCTCTGATGGAGACCCTGATGTAAGGTGGGCTCTGATGGAGACCCTGACATTAGTGGGGACTTCTAAGGTGGGCTCTAATGTAGGCCCTTAAGTAAGGGGGGACTTCTAAGGTGGGTTCTGATGGAGTCCCTGATGTAAGGTGGGCTCTGATGGAGATCCTGATGTTAGGGGAGACTTCTAAGGTGGGCTCTGATGTAGACCCTGAAGTAAGGGGGGACTTCTGAGATGGGTTTTGATGGAGTCCCAGATGTAAGGTGAGCTCTGATGGTGGTCCTGATGTAAGGTGGACTCTGATGGAGACCCTGATGTAAGGAGAGGGGGGGGGGCTCCTATGGTGGTCTCTAATAGAAACCCTGGTGTAAGGTGGGCTCTGATGGAAATCCTGATGTTGGGGGACTTGTAAGGTGGTCTCTAATGTAGACCCGGAAGTAAAGAGAGATTCTAAGGAGGGCTCTAATGTAGACCCTGAAGTAAAGGGGACTTCTATGGTGGGCTCTGATGGAAACCCTAAAGTTAGGAGGACCCTGATGGAGACCCTGATGTAAGGGGCACAATGTAAATATTTGCCAGCACACCAAGTGGTGTTGTGCATGCTCCAGTATCCAGTTGGTTATCACTGCAGTACCCAATACTTTTGAGAGCTCATTCCAGGAACATGTGTGATGAGAATATGGACTGTTACTAGATGTAAGGGGGCTCTAATGGGGACCTTCGTGTTGGGGGCTCCTAAGGTGGACTCTGATTTAAGGTGGGCTCTGATGTAAGGTGGACTTTGATATAAGTTGGGCTCTGATGGGGACATTGATGTAAGGGGAGGATTTTGCTTTGTTTTACTGAAGTTTTTTCCCTTTTGTTCTGAATCATATGCTGGTTCAAAGTAATATTAGTTAAAAGTATATCTAAAGTCATTTTTAAAGTTTTGGCTGGAGTAGGCAAAATTAGAACCCGCTGTCTGGATTGTATTAATTCCGGCTGTAGATATACTTTAAGTTAGTTAATTACCCAATTGGCAATTACCCAAATGAGCCATGTAACATCCTAAATGATTTACCCTCATAGTTTTCTTTTTGGGGGATAATTGACCCCTAATTTTGTCTCTATCTTATAAAGATCCCATGCTTCAGGTGCCTCTATATGTGTGTTCCCCTGAAGAAAGGTGTAGATTGCACATGAATAGATACAGCCTCCAAAACAATTTTGCAAAGATCTATTATATGAGGTATGTATATGACACTTTCTAATGTATATGCCACTGGACTCTAGTGGAGACATGTTCTCTGGAGTGACCAATCTCACTTCTTTGTTTGGCAATCCGATGAATGTGTCTGGATTCGGTGCCTGCCAGGAAAACGGTACTTGCCTGAATGCATTGTGCCAGCCAAGTGTAAAGTTTGGTGGAGGGGGGATTATGGTGTGGGGTCCTGACCTCAACCCGATAGAACTCCTTTGGGATAAATTAGAGTGGAGACTGCAAGCCAGGCCTTCTCGTCCGACATCTCTGAGGAAGAGGCAAGTCCTCGAAACGCATCAGCCTTTTGGATGTCTAAACTCCCTATTGCGGATTGTTACTCAGCGCGGTGTTGACCCAGCTGTTCTTTTATGATGACTGACTATATTGTCGTTTGTGAGTACAACACCTACTTTATTTTTTATTAAACATTTTTTATGGTAATGCACTAGGCCTGTGCGCCCTCTCTTTGTTCTTTCCCCATTCAGTATATTTGGATTCCCCCAGTCCATTTGAGGGCAGCAAGGTGTGCATGTTCCAGGACATTCTTAATGTGGTTGTAGCCTGCATCGAGTCCATCCCCAAGCGCAGGAGCATTTGTGTTTGCTGGTTCTTCGTCCGACATCAGTGCCTGACCTCACAAATGCGTTTCTGGAAGAATGGTCAAACCTTCCCATAGACACCCTCCTAAACCTTGTGGACGGCCTTCCCAGAAGAGTTTAAGCTGTTATAGATGCAAAGGGCCAACTCAATACTGAACCCTCCGGACTAAGACTGGGGGGCCATTAAATTTCATGTGCGGTAAAGGCAGGCCGACCAATACTTTTGCCAATATAGTGTATACCCAATGTCAATATGTTGTACATGATGTCATTTACTTACCGGTGGCCCTTTAGGTCCTTGAAATCCAGGGATTCCAGCAGCACCTGTGTCACCTTTGCTTCCTTTGGGGCCCTAAATTGCATAGGCAACAATATTAGATATCCCATAAAGAGAAAGAAACCAAAGTAACAAAACAAACATGTTTATTGATCTTTACCATCATGCCCGGAGGTCCTGTGTTCCCTGGAGGGCCAGCTACTCCATTCTTACCCTATAATATAAAAAGTAACAAAAATGGGACTCAGCATTACACTGACAAGCTATCGAACTCTGCAGCCCTCATTTTTTTTTCTTAAGCATGCGGTTCTTCATTGAGCATAGCAAGAAAATTACGTTGTAGAGGTACATCACATAGTAGTACAGTAGTTTTAAACACATACGAAGTGTTGATATGTTGATTTTGTAAGTGATAGTAAAGCTGAGGTTTAGGTATGGCAATTTTTAGATAGTTACATTGGTCAACTTGGACAAATGTAAGCATGGATGTGCCCAGGCGCGGACTGACCATTTGGAAACTCGGGCACTGCCCGAGGGCCCAGGGTCAGTGGGGGGCCCCATGAGATGCCCCTGGTACCTTTTTCATAGGCTTTTTTGAGTTTGGGCAAGGACACAGGGGCCCAATGATCCCCTATTGCCCGGGGGCCCCATGAGTTGTCAGTCCGCCCCTGGATGTGCCATACCTGAGAGATCCCCGTGGTGGCTGGAGATCATTGTAGTAGATACCTCTACTCCAATAATCTCTACTAGCTTCTGGGTCTTGTGCCAAGAAGCTGCCCTGCTGCTTAGTGAGCATAGCAGGCTGCCTACTCGGCACAGGCTCCATTCAGAGCACACTTTCTGTTTTCTCAATGAATGCAAAATGTTCACTGATTGAACAAGATAGCCATAACTTACCTCTCTTTTAATCAATTCGGACAATTTTGATGATAGAAGTTGATCAAACTGAGTGGATCATCAGCCAGGGTAGATAATGATTGATCATTTTGCATCAATCGGCAGCACCGAGATATTTTGTTCCTGGATGTGATCATATTTTGATCAATCAGATTATGATATTTCAAGGTGGAAATAGAGATGCCATAGAAGACCTACGATCGTAAGTTACAACTTATTGATCAAATCCACTTCCCTGTGTGGGGCATATTGATCAAATGGGTTGTTGACTATAGATCGATTATTCCGATCAAAAAGGATCAATCAGAAAAGAAAGCGATCATTTATTGAAGAGTGTGTGGTCACCATTAGGCCCCATTCCTACCTAAGCTTTTTGTAGTTCAAAGTTCCAAAACACTGAACTTTAAACATCCCAGTTGGGCCTGTTCACACCAGCGTGTAATGACCCTTGAACCTTGTAGACCGAAAAAAAGGACACGAGATTCTTTTGAGCTACAAGCTTCAAGCATTTTTGGCCCCATTACACATCAATAGAAATGTCCAAAAATGCACAAAAACATCTGCAAAAATGTACAAAATGCCTATACAAATGCTACAAAAAGCCTGTAAAAATTGCCAACATCGCTTATCTCAAGTGTGAATGCAGCCTAGTGACATTTTCTTGGTAGCACATTTTCCAATACATAAGATGTTGTATATGTTCTTGCTATACTGTGTATAAAGATCATTGGACTTGCCATTAGACCATGGAAGACTGTACATTCATAAAAAAAAGTACTATATAGTAATATTCCTGTATAACCATAACTGGTAATATAGAACATTCTAGCCAACACCCTCATTTCCCAGCTCCAAGCAGGAACATAGAGTCAGTCTCCAGTTTCTGACAACCACTATGACAGTAGATATCTCTGCCACAATATATTTCACAAAATGACCAGTTTGGCCGGAGTGCTCTGGAGCTTCTCCATGCTGCAAGCAGGCCGTGTATTGAAAATCGGACATCATTTCAACTCATTTGGCTCTTGTTAATTTGCAGTTTTGGTATGCAGACCAAGATTTAAAGAATTTTAAATAAAGTAAAGTTCTGTTCCTCGTGGTATTGACATTATCTATCAGCATTAAATGATGAAGGGTGGTTTGTAGATCCTTCAAGTCAGGGTGATCGGGCAAGGGACAATGTGTCAATATTGTTTTTTTTTTTGGTGGCCAACAGACACAGTACTTCCCATTTTATTAAAGCGGAGCTTTAACCATTTTTCATGGTCTTCTCTCTTGCTTCATCCTCCCTCCCTCACTCCTACACATGAGAAAAAATAATCTATTTTAAAAAAAAAAAAAATTTTTTTTCTAAATTTCTAAATCTCGGCTTAGACTAGCATGACATCATGGTCCCCCTCTCATATGCAGATGCACTGTGGGTCTCTGCCAGTTCCCTCTGACTCTTTCCAGAAGACAGTTTGCGCAATGCAAACACATGCCATGAGATCTCTGCCAAAAATTCGTGGCATATCTATGCTGTGTGTGTGTGTGTGTGGGGGGGGGGTCATGTTAACATACTCCACAGCCATTTCTTCCTGGTCCTGTAGACACCATATTTCTGGCAGCACTGGAGTAGGGTGAAGAGAAAACTTTTGCTTCAAGCAAGACAACGCTCTTCTCCAGGGTAATGTTATATACTGTATTGAAGGACAGGGACCAGTGTTAAGGATTTTTATTTTTTGGGGTGGGGGGGTAGGCAGAATGAAGTTCCTTTTTATTGAGGATACCTTTCCACTGTTGGAAGACATATGGAGGGGCATAGCTGTCTATATTTACTTAGGACCCAGCACATACAGGTGTCACGGTCAGGGATCAGACTCAGAGACCAGTAGCTATAGCAGTGGAAACGCCAATAGGAAGAGTATACTGACTGGTAGATGACACTCAAGGCATGTGCAGGGGCGGACTGACAACTCATGGGGCCCTCAGGCAATAGGGGATCATGGGGCCCCTGTGTCCATGCCTAAACTCAAAAAAGCCTATGAAAAATGTACCAGGGGCATCTCATGGGGCCCCCTACTGACCCCGGGCCCTCAGACAGTGCCCAAGTTTCCAAATGGTCAGTCCACCCTTGGGCATGTGGTCTAAGCACTAACCGGTATTCACTGTAACAATGAACAAAAAACAAAAGCACACCAACCTTGCGCATTACCTCAGTGAGTAAAATGTGAATTTATTAAATGAAGGTATATACTCGCAAAACTCACAATATTAAAAGCATATTAAATCCAACATCTGTGCACTGGGGTAGCAGACACATACAGGTCTCATCGAGGGACGCGTGGGTCCCATCGAGAGACGCGTTTCGAAGGGTGATCCCTTCTTCCTCAGGGCTCTAAGGAAGAAGAGATCACCCTTCAAAATGCATCAGATTCATCCTGAGAGTCTCCCCTCTTGATGGGACCCACACGTGTCTGCTACTCCAGTGCGCAGAAGTTGGATTTTGTATGCTTTTAATATTGCGACTTTTGTGAGTATATACCTTAATTTAATAAATTCACCCTTTACTTACTGAGTAATGCGCAAGGTTGGTGCCCTTTTGTTCTTTGTTACAGTTGTTATTGGGCTTCCCCAGCCTTATGTTAGAGCTGCACAGCCTTTGATCGGCCACGGGATGAACTTTCACATATGGTTCAACCAGCTGAACTCTGATCTGGGTCTCTGAATTTCCGTTAACTGGTATTCATCAGAGCTCCTGATGGTGGAGATGGGTTTTGCTGTGTGTTAATACTAGGTTGCGGTCCTCAGGATCTCCCCATCAGGAGGTGAGTAAGCCGGGGGTCTAGTAGTATATACACCAGGTGGGGATTAAACTGAAGCATAGTCAGTAAACAAGTCAAAGGTTGGTAGCAGTGGTTGCAGGTTGGGATCAAGCAGAAGCGTAGTTGAGGAACAAGACAAAGGTCATTGTAACAAAGACATGGATGACAGCATGAGTGACAAAAGCGATATATTGGCTGGAAAGAGCACAATAATCTGGCAAATAGGAAGTGCAAAGGCATGGCTTAAATAAGAAGCTCATGGGAGTAGCAAGATGTTGAAGGTTCATGACAAACAAGACACAAGGCAAGGTTGTCTTACGAGATTAGGCAGGGAACTGCCCAATATCTCAAGTGGCTCAGCAAGAAGAGACATTGCCAGCCACAGAAGTCACCGGCTCAGCCCTGACAACAGCTTAGAACCAATCATCAATTGGGGTGGTCTGGTTTGCACTTAGGGCACCCTTCATTTTGTGAACCTGGCTAATAACAGGAGACATCAGAGAGCATTCCGCAGAAATGTCTAGTCACATCATGGCTTCCTCTCCAACTTCGTTTTTTCTTTTTTTAGTTCATTTTTAGCTCCCTCCATAAACAAGACAAATTCTTCTATATACTCACAACGCATTCAGAGCGTGAATTCACAGGGAATATTTTATGAGACTGATTCTTTTATTTAGCGCACCATGAAATCACTAAAATACGGCTTATATCCTTAAGGTAGAGATATTATCATCTGTATTAAGTGGCTGAATTTCAATATGTTTCGCCAAAGGGAAGGTTTAGTGTGCTTGCAGTGAGCTACATCATTTTGAGCTTTTATTGTATTATTTAGCCTAAAGTAGATCTAAATCCAATCATTCAAATTGTATATAAAATTTAAAGAGACCTTGTCAGTGTTGACACTTTTAGTTTAATTCTTTTATTAGTATTCCAATTGTAAGGGGCATATTTATAGCGCAGAGCAGATATTGCTATCCGCTTCCCAATACAGTAAATTGTGGAATTCATACTTCAGCCCGCATTTTCCATCCTATTCATAAAATCTGGGTCATGGATGGTACGTAGCCTCTCATGCTCCACAATCTTCTTACTGTATAACGCAGCAGAGAGATGGTGCCATGATTAGTTAAAAGTCATTTATGTGGCTTTGGCAGATCAGAAAGGGGGGCTGCAGCAACTGGACATCCAACCACCGCTGGTGGCCACTCGGAATCTATGGTCAGTGACTTTTTGAAATGAAATGTATTTGTTATTTACTATATACCCACTATCCTTGAATAAAGGTACCTTAAGCAGTATCACGCTATGTGGTCTCTTATTGGGCACTCTGTCATTCGCAGTGCCCATTTGGAGAAAAATATGACCCTGGTGGTGATACCTAGTAGCGGATCCTGGTGACCTTTTTCTGTGGAACTTGGATGGTGATTCGTGGGGTAACCTGACCCGAGATCTGACGACCTATCTATGGTCTGGTGACGCAGGATTATTTATTGCGTATCTTAAACGCACATCT